GTATTGAAATGTCATCACAATACTAAAGGTAATAACCTATGCTTCAGTCAAAATAATGCCTATGGTTTTTTTATAGTTTTCCATAGGTTATCCAACAACATTAACGACTCAAACCCTTAAAGCATCTTAATTAAAAAAAAAAGTAACCAACCTTTACAATGGCATTTAAAGCTAAGACTTTGGGACAGAGATGGCGTTGGAGACACAAGAGCAAAGGGGAATAATTAGGGAAAATTTAGTATATTGAAACTAAAAATGTCAATACAAGACTCTCTATGGAATATAGCAATCCCAAAAAACTTGCCATATATAATTGGGTACCCGGAAAGCCAATCTTGCAAAACCCAAGTATTATAAATTTAGCTATTGAAAACAGAACAAAAAATAAAGCATCTATGGTATATCCATAAAAGTTTCAATTACAAATCTAGTGAATTTAAGCGAAGGAATTCTAGATTTTTTTGTATTCAATTATTTTTAATATAAAACTTAATGTCTAAAGTAATAGAAATTCATTAATTTTTTTAAAAGATATTATGAGTTGCACTTCTCATAACAACCAAGTTTAATTCATTTGTATATTTCCACACAAATGCGAATATTAGCGGAAACTATGTTAAGATTGCCAATTTGAGCATGGAGGGGATGTCAAACATCTGATCCCATTAAATAGATTTTAAGAAATGGTTAAAAATAAAATACAAAATTCAAGCTTGACTGCTCCATCAGATGTAACCTAAAAGAAATTAGCATTTAAATCCATGATATCACAAAATGAAAATATATTGAAGAAAATGTTGCTGGAATGGTAAGAAGAAATCAAATTAATTTATGATCAGATCGATTTGGAAAACTACTAATTAAATCTTGTCAATGACAATTTAGCAGAATCATCTTATACTGATTTAGAAAAATTAGTATAAATTCTTAATGAAACAAAATAAATTTAAGAGCCTGATGATAAAAAGCTCATAGAATTGGAAAAAACGAAGAAAAAATGGGATGAAGAAGTTCAGGCTTTTGTTAAAAAGACAAACGAAATCATGAAAAAAATAAAGTCTTTAAATAAGTAATAATATGAATTAACTAGAACTGAATAAAAATAAGAAGTAAGTGAATAAGAGGTAAGTGAATAAGATGTAAGCGGATAAGAAATACAGATAGCTCGGATGGATTGGAAGGAAGGAGTCAAGGAATTAAAAAAGTTAGATGGTCATATTAATGCTGTCTTATCTGTATGTTTCTCACCCGATAAAACTACTTTAGCATCTGGTAGTGTTGATAACTCAATCAGATTATGGGATGTTAAAACTGGATAATAAAAAGCCAAATTAGATGGTCATAGTGAATGGGTATAATCAGTATGCTTCTCACCAGATGGAACTACTTTAGCATCTAGTAGTTATGATAAGTCAATCAGATTATGGGATATTAAAACAGGATAATAAAAGGCCTAAATAGATGGTCATATTAATTCTGTTCTATCAGTATGTTACTCACCCGATGGAACTACTTTAGCATCTGGTAGTGTTGATAACTCAATCAGATTATGGGATGTTAAAACTGGATAATAAAAAGCCAAATTAGATGGTCATAGTG